TGGGGCAGTGGATTGAGGCTCCCTGGGGGTGGGATCAGGGGTCCCCAGGAAACGGGAAGGGGGAGCCCTGGGGGAGGTCGGGGGGTCTCCAGGGAGGGGCTTCGGAGCTCCCTGGGGAAGACCCGGGGATCCTGCGGCACCTCTCGAGTCCCCGGGCCGTGGCAGGGGCAGCGAGCCCTGGCTCCCCGCAGCGCCGTCCCGCTCCCCGCCGGCACTCACCCGCCGCTCGCTGGCTCGCTCCCCGCCGGCTGTGGCTGCAGCACGTGGGGGCCGCGCTCGGAGCCGCTGCCCCGTCCCAGCCCCGCCTCGCCTCGCCTCGCCCGCCCAGGCTGGGAGGGGAGCGGAGCGCAGCGCAGCGTCCCCCGGCTGCGGCCATCGGCACCGCCAGTCCCGGGGCAGGGCCACCTGCTGCTGCTGCCCCACACTGCCGCCGGGGGGAGCCTCTGCCCCAGCTCGGGGCCCGGGGCTCCTCTCCCCTGATCGGTGTCCCTGCCCCCTCCAGTACCTCAGCCCCAGGGGCCACCCCACACAGCCCGGGCCCCACCGGCTCCCTGCCACCTCCCCCTAGGTGAGGGGTCCTGGCTCCCTGCCATTTGCCAGCAGCCCCCGGGCCATCGGTCCCGGCTCCCTGCCACGTCCCCGGGGCCTGGGTCCCGGCTCCCTGCCATTTGCCAGCAGCCCCCGGGCCATCGGTCCCGGCTCCCTGCCACGTCCCAGGGGTCTGGGTCCCAGCTCCCTGCCATGTCCCCGGGGCCTGGGTCCCGGCTCCCTGCCACGTCCCCGGGGCCTGGGTCCCTGTCTCCCTGTCACGTCCCCGGGGCCTGGGTCCCTGTCTCCCTGCCACGTCCCCGGGGCCTGGGTTCCGGCTCCCTGTCATATGCCCCTAGCCCCACCCCCTGCTTGGCCAGAGTCATCACTAGGACGGATGCAAAAGTCTTGGGGAAGTCAGGAGGCGCTGAAAGGGCTGGCCCAGCATTTCCCTCTTCTGTACTCTTAGTCTTTCCTGTTCCTCTTCTCCATGCCAGATCACCCCTTGCTGCTGTCACCAGCTTCGGCACCCTTTGACCTAGCGGGGTCTGTGACACCAGTCGCTCTTGGTTCATGGAATTAAATGAGCCCTCTGTGCACTACGGCAGCTGGCAGCCCTGGGAAGTGTGATCCCCAGAGAGCAGGGGCAGTGCCCGGCAGCCTGCCCCTACCGGTCATGGGCCTTGTTCCACGCTCCACAGATCTCCTTAGCCCTGGTCCATCTGGGTGGAGAGCTGGGTGCAGGAGCCAAGCTGCACTGGTGGTGTTGGCTGGGGAGCATTCCCATGAAGGGGATGAGAGAACACACAACACATGCCAGATGCTAGTCGCCTTGTTTAAGGCACTACGGGAAGGCGCTCCGCTACGCCGGTGGTGAGCGCGGTATCAGAAGTGTTAGAGAATAGAATGTCAAGTATCAGAGGGGTAGCCGTGTTAGTCTGAATCTGTAAAAAGCAACAGAGGGTCCTGTGGCACCTTTGAGACTAACAGAAGTACTGGGAGCATAAGCTTTCGTGGGCATCTGAAGAAGAGAGGTTTTTACCGGGAGTGGGTTCAGGGCAGGGGATTGGGGTGTGGGAGGGGGTGCAGCTCCAGCTGGGAGGGGTGGGGCCAAAGATGGGACAGGGGTTGGGGTGCAGCAGGAGTTTCAGGGTGTGGGCTCTG